GCCACTGTGAGAAACGGCGATCTGTTCGCATAATCCACTCCCACTCGATCATTTAAATATTCAAACAGCAGAGATTAGCGATCAGAAAGACCTCGACCGATCGGATAAATTATACCGGCGATTTCCTTTATCGTCTCGATGCTCGTTCCAAATCGATTCTCCCAGCAACCGTGTTGCCGATATTCGTCCAAGACGATCGTTTTTATCGTTAAACCCGAGGAAACCGCGAGAAAACGATTTCCTGCATCCCGTGACGAGACACGTGTCACGCTTTGACAAGCGCACACGCTTTTACGTATATGCCCCATGGCGCGAAACTCGTTGCAAGATCGCCAACCGAGTTTCTCAGATTTTATCTGACCCCTTCAGCGTCCAGATTTGTCACGGGACGTCGGGCTTTACGGGTGAACAAGGATCGCTCGATTTTATTTTTTCCTCCTTTCCGGTGGCCAGAGTTCGCTGTAACCTCGCCCAGATCAATAACGATCTTCGATCCGCCCTTTGAATGCCAATGATCCATGCTCGCCACGCTTCATAAACGAGCAACCGATATACGTTTGTCACCGGTTAAATGCGCGAGCACCGCGACAGGACACTTGCGACCACGCATAATGATCAACGAGATGGCATAAATTAAAGCGACGAACGTTGATTATGTTCGCGCCACGTGCCTCGCTGAATTTCTTGAATAATTGTTCAGAAACGCTTCCCTTTCGACGCGTTAACGCGTCACTCGTGAATCCTGGGGATGGTGATATTAATTTCATTCTGTGATCTTACGGATCTTAGGCTGTATTTCCTCGTTTAATCCTGGAAATACTAATGAGAGAACTCGTCGAGTTCATCAATTAGAAAATATTGAAAATATATTATTCTTTCAATTTCCAAAATTTCCAAAAAGCGATTTATTCTAATTCAAGTATGCCTCCAAAATTAGTATTTAAATTGTGATTTTGGTTTTGTTAAAATATTATTAAGAAAAGAAAAATGAATCTCGGTCCTTTGAGGATTAATTAAAGTCATATCCATGATAAACATCAGGGACCACAGGTGGCCTGAAACGTGTTAATATCTTCGTTGCAGGTGTCTCGTGCACACCTGATGAAAAATCGATTATAAATTTCACGGAGGACGATCGATCGTTAAATCGAGCCGCGATAAAACAGCGAAGGCGGGCGGGCATTTATCAAAGTTAAGAGTGATGAAAAGCCTCATAAAAAATGAAAGCATCAAGCACAGTAAATCTCAGCTACGTTATATTCCGGTCGTGTATGGTGCAACTTACTTTCACCTAACGAAAAATATTGATACATGAAAGCGTAGTTCGAGTTAAAAAACAGTTGTCCGGAATGAAATACGAGGAGCTAGGGGCGTTAAAAAAGCAATTTGTATGTCACCAACGTAATAGCGGTAATTGTTTGTCGCACCGCGGAGAATTCTGCTCGCGTGAAAGTTCGTCCTCGCCAAGTATGAGCAAAATGCGGCAGCCTGAAGCTGCTACTGCTCGTTTCTGTTCACCGATGTCTTTCTCGCTTTCCTCGTCCCTCTTTCGCTTTCTGCGCGCTACGAATCGGTACTTATATGTCCATGAACGCGTGACACACGCTCGATCGTGGAAGGTGGAGAACGTTTCACCGTTTCGACGCCACCGCCGAGAATTTCTATCGTTCTTGCTCGAAACACTCATTCTTTTCACTCGAAAGTTTCGCTTCTTTTCAAAGTCACATTCGTTTCTTTAACATTCGTGTTCGATTAATTTGGCGCAAATGATTTTGCACGCGAAATGAAGAAGATTTGTTAATTTATTGCTAAAGGGTTTTGAATTTAACCGGAGAGATAGAGGTGTGTTTAAGAACGAGAATTCATTGATTTATCCAAAGATACGATCTACTATTTCCTTGATGGATCGATACACGAGTAACCACGTCACGTTTAAAAGCCTTGAAGATCGGTGTGAATGAAAGTAGGTTGGAAAAGAGAACGATCGCAACGATCGTCGGCGCCGAGTTGGAAAATCGGTCGGAAAGTGTCTCAAGGAGAGCCCGCTGATCGCCTGGGGTTGTAACTGAACCGCAAAGAGGAAAGGGGAGAAGCGTTGCTCAATATTCTCGGCGCCGACTGTCGTGTTTGTTGCTCGCTTTTTAGTGTTCCCTTTTATTGATTGGCGAAGACATTTTATATCAAAAATATTGACAAAAGTTTCAGGTACTTAGTAACTTTGCTGATACCTTTTCAATTAAATATATCGTACTGTGTATTATAGACCTACCAAAAAATTATAAAATTCGACTACAAAAAAGAAACCCCTCCCATCCTTCTAAATACAAACACTTTCGCAAGAAGCAGTACCATTACCATTCATTTAAAAATTTCATCTCAATCGAGAGACACTCGAAGAGACGGTCTCCGATTCCACCCCCTTAAATGACACTCGCGAGTCGCTCGCGGAGGAAACAAAGTCAAACAGGAAGGCGGGCGATCAACGCCTGTCTCCGTCAGCGTATAAATAATCCAGCGGGGCCTGGAATTCTCGAAGCTGGCAATCGCGTCTCTGTTTTTCCTCATGCATTATTCACGATCGGTATGAGTGACGTGCGATCTCACGGGGAATCGCGCGAACCGAGCTCATTATTTCCACCCCCGTCTCGCGTCCATTTCTACCCGGGGGTAATTCGCGTACGCGAGCCGCAGTCCGGTTTTTCTTGGCCCGATAATCGCGTAAACACGCGGCAAACGGTGGAAACCGAGCAACGTTCAAAAATAAAAGAAGAAAATAAAAAATAAAAAGGAACGATGGTCAGAGGGAGGTGAAATCGCTGCGAGCTTGATCCTCGTGCAGCAATTACGCGAATAGTTCGATCCGCAATTATCCGTATTGCTTTCAACCGTTCGCAGGGCGAATCGACTTTTCGTCGATGCAACGCGGCGAGGCTTTTGTCTCGTTGTTTCGATTCCACGTGGACTCTGGAGAGGGAGGAAAAAACTGGTCTCCCCTTTTTCGATCTCTTTCCCTGTTGCGTCTCTTTCCGGTTTTCGTACGTGCCATTCAACCGCGGCAAACAGCAAATTGGACTCTCTGTCTGGCCGCGTTGCATTCGCGCCGAGATCTCCGGGGAGTCGACGCGGTACCAAGATCCACCACTTTATTTCCACTGGAACTTTCTTAGTTCTCCCCTTCGCTTCCGTGTCGCGTATCTTGTAACTTGTATTATTTAAATTTAGAGAACGAACGGTGTGTGCACTCCTCTTCGAATTAGGCAAATTACTTCGATTCAAGTTAACTCTTTGATACATTGTAATGTGATTTTGACGTTTCATCTTTCGCGTCATTATTCCTATGATAATTTCATTCTTTCTTAGACGGACGAGTGGAAGAAAACTTGTTCGAAAGGTGTAAGTGTTAAGAGAGATAGACCAAGTTTGATTATCTTCTCTCCAGGAGAAAAATGAATTTTCTTGATGAGATTGTGTGATGGGAAATGTAATTCGAGAGGATTCATAGGGCGAAGAAGAAACTTTAGAAATTCTATGATCGTAGCTGATTAATTTTTTAGAAATTATATTCTTGATTGCTTCTGACGGTAATTAATCCATCAATTGTATTTGAAAGATTGGTATAAAGAATTCATCCCCTAAAAAGTCGAGGTTTGTGCACTGTGAGCCAAGCCTTCTTCGAGCACGTGAATTTCTACGCATTTACTGTTTCGTCTCGTTGGATGGAGTATAGTAATTGAATTTATCCTCAATATCTTGAAACATCAAGCAATCGCACAAATTCAATTTCAATTTTCCTCTATAAAACCTCCCGGCCGAACATCATCGCATATCAAAACTTCCCGATACCCGAATCAAATCTTTCCCGGCTACCACGGAATGAATTTTCTCTATCACACGATCCAGTTGTAGTCTGTTTTTAACTCTGGCTTTCAGTCGGAACGTTGAAAATCGACGGAGGATGAGACCGCGTATACTCGCACGAAGGATCGAGCGGAACTGTTCGCGTTTATCACACCGTCAGATATTCAGCGGTTGTTCCACGGTTTCCGGCAGCGTTATTCGGCGCGATAGCAAATTGGAGCCGACTCGTATTCACGGGCAAACGTGGTTGACGTACGATCTCTCCTGGGGAAACCGCGTGGGTGGAGTCAGCCGGTTGTGTTCCTTATTTTTACCGGAGTCGTCCTGGCTCCGCGCGTATCCGCCTCGACCGACACGCTTTTCTCCTCGGGTTAAACGTCACATCGAATCACGTTGAAAATTTACAATAACGAGTACCATTCAATTTTCGAATTTGCTCGTGATTTATAATAAAATCAATGGCGTTAAGGAAATATTAAAACTACCTTCTATTTATGCTCTCAAAATTTCGAACGGATCTATTGAATAAATTAAAAGAAAATAATTTTTCCAAAATGAAATTTGAATTTTATTTATCTCTCAAGTTACAAAGTCAAAAATATCCAATATTTTCATGAGGAGTAAATGATCAGTGGAAACATCTTGGCTCAATTTACATCGTCGGTTTAGTGGTACGGTTTCAGGGTCGCTGTAAACAGGGACGAAGGAAAAGAGTCGTCGAGCGGCACTCGTAAATTCGGAAGTAGGTCCCCGGAGAAGGAGAGAGCGGTTTTCACGATGTTCCCGGGCGTCGAGCGCGAGGTTAAGCCAGGTCAGGCCGAGGCGTTCGCTCGCTGCTAGAGTCCACTGCCCTGAGAACCGTTCCAGCCGATAAACCACCTCCTCCTCCTCCGCCTCCTCCCTGTGGCCGCTTCGCGAGGATTCGACGCGGATACACGTCGCGGAGGTTACGTCGGGTCAACCGAAACGCCGGACACGAACGAACCCGACGCACGCGAGAACTACGATTGCTCGTTTGCCTACCGACTCTGTCCACGGAATTCTTCATCCCCCTTTGCTCGGAATTATTCTTCCATCGACGTTCATTGTCACCAATCTCGCGACAAAAGAATTCTTTTCTAATACTTGGATTTTTTTTTCAGGTGGTGATGGGCCTCTGATGATGGAATTAGAACCAGGTGCAATAATAATGGAGTAGCTGTGAAGATAGATAATTTTATGAAATGAAGAGTCATCAATACGTTAAGGTATTTAATCACCCTTTACGCTTTTCAACAAAATTTTTATAAATCAACAGGAAGCTCTTAGTATAAAAATGAATGAAATTGAAAGGTACAGTTCTCTATTTCATAGGAGTAGAGAGAAAAAATTAGGAGATTGCGAAATACATTTTACAGAAATTCAAAGCCCTCCATTCGACTAAACATCTGAAAATCTCGCAGCTCTCGGTGAATTTATAAATCCATCGAGGAGTAGATCGAAGAAGTCCCAGTATGGACTGCAAAAGGGTACCGTTAACGTTTCCCGACACCGTATCAGGAATATCGAATCTCTTGTCGTCGAAGGGAACGCGCTTTCAAGCCGTGAGTTTCTCGAAACTGCCGCTCGAAAATGTACGCTTCTTGTCGTCGTCGTTTCTCCTCCCTCGACAACCACCACCGAAGCCCGTATTATTTAATGGGAACCCACGGCCTGCCAGTCTGCCGGCAAGGCGATGAATATTGCGCATTGTAGTGGTCGCGATAAAATCGAAGGAGAATGCGGAAAAACTGCGCGTTTCCATCTATTCGCGTTCCGCAAATTCCGAACCGCAATGCGGCCGGCTACGAGACGACGACGACGCACGATATGCGAGCAAGAAATAAAATTGAATTTCACGAGGGGACGTCAAGGAAACGATGTTACCGCTGCACGTCCTCCTACTTCTTCCTCCAACTCTTCTCGTCGCCTCTTTCTCGCCGTTCGTGGAACACGAGACAGCGAATGCTCGTCGAACGAAATTCGGTTTCCAGGTAAATCCGCTTGTCCGAAATCAATCGCGACCACGTCGTGTTACAAGGCTCGCGATAGAAAATGACTTCCGCGATTTTAACGGATCCACGATGGGATTACGTTTCGAAGTTGGTTGGAAAAAGAATTTCGAGAATGCTTCATCTATCCGAGTCATTTGATATCGTGAAATTTTTTCATGAGATGAAAGGGGTAGATTTTTCATTTATTTAATAGAGAAACACTGGCACACCGGTTGAAGGTACATTTTTTAGGAACTTATAGTGTCCCCATTTTTATTAAAAACTTGAATTTGATAATTAACCAGTCGTATTGTTAATTATTATTCAAGATCTTCAGGTTCAAGTTCCTCTTGTCAGAGAGATCCAATTTTAATTTAATTTTGTATTCATATTATTTTCATTTCCGCTGTTCAAAGGTTATTATCTGTCAAAAATAGGGGTTGGAACATTGCAATCTTTAAAATTGCGATTTGTATTCCAGCAAATAAATCGTTATCTCCTGTTGAATTACCCTTCTGTTCGGATTGAATACATTTTCCGTAGGCACTCCCCGATGTAACAATATCGCCAGTCACGATTTGAACAGCAAGAATTGCCAAATAAAAGCAGGCAGAGAGACACGAGTTTACTATCGGTAATATTGTAAAATAAATGCAAGTTGGGGAACAAAGAGGAGACGAGTAAATGTAGAGAAGGAAGAAGAGATACACGTTCGCATCTCGACGAACATTCTCGTCTCATTCATAATTTCTACGGGAGACCCCCTGGGATCTCGGCATGCAGGAATTCATGAGTCCATGCAGGATTAACGGGAACGAATAAGAGAGTGAGATTCCGGGAGACGATGAATAGAAAGAAAGAGACAGAATAGACTGATATTGCTACTGGAATATTTGTTGAAACTCTTACAGCGCGAAGCACTTCGCCTCAAAAGCGAATAACGTAATTTGCGAAGAGCTCGTCCCTCTTTTTTCCTCTTTCTCTTTCACTCTCTGTCTCTCTCCCTCGTTTTAGCTGGTAAATTTTCTGTCATCGCGTAGAATTTTCTGAGAGCGAATACAATCTTTCCGAGATAGAGTTTCCACGGAAAGAGAAACGAATCTCCCGACGCGGAAAGGAAAAGCGCTCCTCCCATTTCTCTCCCTCTTTCCATCGTTCCTGTCGTTGCTCGTTGAAAAAGAAAACCAGGGGAAACCATTTACTGGAATCGTCCACCGAGGGAGAGAAAGATCACGGTTCTCTCCTTTTTTCATCGTTCCGCTCCCGATCGACGCGATTTCACCGGTTAAATCGCGCGACTTTTGTTCGCGTTCTCAACCGTTATCACACCTATTAACGAATTTCAGAGGTACTCGCAATTCGGTAGGTTTGCAATTAATTAACACCTTGATGGCCACGTTAAAATTATTAAGCATACTATGGGGTAATTTTTATATTTCACCTTTCAATTTCTTACCTCACATTATTAATAATTAATTATTCTATTAATATGAAATTTGGGGTGCCGACCACTGGTGCTTTATTTAAAATAAATTTCGTTACCAATTTCTCGCGTTGACAATCAAACGATAATGAAAAAAAAAAAAGACACGTTCAGAAAACAGAGTCACCTTTCAGTCAGATAGGCCAACAGATTGTCCTAACTCTACTCAAGGTATCCAGGGAATTTCTCTCCGCGAAATCGTCGTCGATTTCCGATCCGCGTCTCGTTTCCTCGTTCAATCGAACGCTAGTCGAACCTCCACAAAAGTATCTGGCGTCGAGACAATGGTTCGGCGAGAAAGGGATCGTCGGGACGTTTTAGGGTAGGGACGGAGAAAGGGGTTGCAACAAAAGACAGAAAAGAAGACAATACGGCGTGGAATGGTTGGAAGAAAGCCTACAGAAGAGAGCTTTCCGCAGAGAGCAAACAACTCTTCGCGAAGAGAGAGAGAGGTTCTCGCGTTTTCAATCATCCATCGAAATCCCGCCACTTCCGGCCACGGCTTCTGAAGTTCGCGTGATACCTTCCGCGGGTCAATTCGTACCCCTCTCCCTACGTTTCATTTTCGTTGAACGAGATCGTTCTGGCGGAAACGGGATACTACTCGAAAATTTTCGTCTCGAAATATGTAAGTCTATTGGGAAGTAGAGATGGAAAAATATAATCGATAGCTATTGATCATTAATTAACTTCTGGTTTGATTTTATATTGGAACTCTGTTTTCAAATTTTGTAAAAACTGAGCTTTATTATTTGCGGATTGGTAATCAGTGCATTCTATACGAAATCCAAATTGGTTATTGAACGATATAATAATCGATACGTTATCGATATTTCTCCACTTTTACCAGTAAACGAGAAAGAACGACAAACGTTGCGGGAGACGACGGAAACCGGAAAAAGAAACGGAAGCCCGAAAATAGGAAGCGGCCGAAGAAAAGGGGAGCAGAAAATAGAGAGAGAGAGTGATTGGAGGAGAGAAATGGAGGCGTCTGGTTCGACACGCTGAGTGCACGGGTATTTCGAAAATCCGATAAATCTCGTCTTCTCTGTCATCCCTCTTCACCGTTCAACCCTCTCTCTCTCTCTCTCTCTTTCTCTCTTCAGCCATACAACATCGACCGACCGAGCGATGAAATTTCCTCGTCGTCCCAATCTCTCGTTATTCCCAGGGTATTCTGGGTACCCGATATCCTCGGGCTTTCCTCCTTGAACCTCCTCTTTCCTAAACCTCCTACCAAACCCTCTCGAACCAGTCCTCTGGTTATTTTGCCGCGGTAGGTACTCTCTCCTCTTATTCCATCGAGCCGATCGAGAAAAGACGGCATGATCTTGGTGCATCGAGTGGAGAACCGGCTAATAAGCGGCCAACAATCGGGCTACCGATGAAACGAGCATTCTAGGGATGACCGATGATTTATTGTGAAATTCGTGGAACGATCTTCAGGGGTGGTTGATCACGACGGATAGGTCAGACGTGCTTGAGAACGCTGCAAAGATTGCCGGAGTAGATTTCAACCAGAGACCGGATTCTCTTCGTGAACTTCATATTTCGAAGATATTCAATAATGTATTGGGATTTGATGGTATTGTAGATATTGGTAAATGATTCTTTTTCAATATTTCTGATCTTGCTATTATATTTGGGAAAATTATCAGGGAAATTTAATACTTCGATAATTTCTTGTTTTTATATTAATTGTAGATTAGTAATTTTATAGGATACTTTTAAAAATGATTTAAAACTATGTTAAATTTAATTAAGAATCTACAATTAATAATACTAAAATTCAATTCTTTCAAATATTATAAACTATATTTCTACTATCAATTTTATTGCATTCTGTATATAAATAGAATCTTACGACAGATCTCCAAAGATAAATCCTACAGTCAGGAAAATCATGTTCGAGATCTGTCAGAAAATAGCCATTGAACCGTCTCCCTAAGAATCTTCGATTTGTCGATAAGTATCAGTCCAGAGAGATAAACCTACACAGTCGTTTCTTCGGTAAAGTAACGTACGAGAATATCCAACGTGTCCTGGGTAACAAACAATCAGGTATGTTGCGTCAACAATAATAGAATCTCGATCGAAGGTATGTCGATAACGATCGCGACACCGATACAACGATTTACAACGTGCCAAGACACGATTCTCTTTCATAGACACGGAAGAAGAGCCCGGTTAATAGATACTTGAGAATCAGGCTACCGGGAGAAGAAGCGACTGCCACCAGGAAGAAAGTCAAGCTTCTCGAAAGTCGATTGAGAACGCGTTTTCGCAGCCTCTGCCTCGAACACTGTATCTCCTTTGTTGCCTCGCTAGACGAGGGGATCACAGGATTATGTTCGTTTTCCTTCGTTCGCTTTTGCCTTACCCGAGGAACCAGACGAGTCGAAAATTTGAAATCTAATACTCTGAGTCTAGGATGAATTTCTTCTTCACATGGGGATCTAGAAAATTAAGGAAGCAGAAGGTATAACGTGTCTATTTAAAAAGAAACAGAAGAAACCAGCTGTACAGCGAACAATAATTTCAATTCTTTCGTTGTAGAAATACCTTTCGATTCGCTGGAACATAAAGAAACATCCTCTCGCTCTCGCTGGCATAGATAAAAAGCAAAGTAGAATCCTCGTAAATCGAAGCATCGATTCAACGAGTCGCTTTCGATTCTATTACACTTAATTGCGAGCCTCTCTCCGGCGCGATTCTCGTTCGCGATTCACCGTTCAATAGCGAAAGCGGTCATCATCGAACCCCTTGGTCAGGGATTAAAATCGTTCCACCACGGTGGATTCGATAGGGAAAAAAGGAATAAACTATGATGAAAAGCAACAAGAAAAATCGAGACGAAAGAAGAAATGAAACAGGGCAGAGGCAATCGAAGGTAAAGCAGGTAAATTAATAAACGACCAAGCGTCTAGGAACATTACTGGAGCTGAACGAATTCGATCGGTGGAAAGACGGTGCACAGTAGAGGAATTCCATTCAGGATAACCCACGATTTTCTCATCGTCCCGACCCTCTGCTAGTCGATTAATTAATTTAACCGCATTATGACGTTACAGTGCAACGAACGGCCAAGGATTATATCGACGTTTGCCGACCTTTCGTTTCTACCATCGCTGGGGATGATCGCGTCTATCTATCGCTGGTATAAGATCATTACTGTTAATTGGAATTTTCAGATGATCGAAACATAGGATAATCCAATTGTCCGCGAGATCTGCATAGCCCGACGTCACGGCCGAATTATTGCGTCCCGTTATTGCGCATTAACGAAATAACAACGCGGAATCCCGTTTATGACGTTCGAATTCCACCCTCTGGAATCCACTTCCCCTTTAGCCTCGCTTTTCTCGTCCTTCTTTATTTCATATCTTTTTTTAATATCCCCTTTATTATTTTTCTTTTATCCTAACAAGGAAACCGTACGGTATTTGGAACGTTGATTTACCGAGACGATAATTTTGTCGACTTCGTTATCTACTTTTACAATGAGTAATTATTATAATTGTAAAAGTATCTCCGAGTCGGGTAACTATTCTTTTCCCTCAGTTTCCGTGTTTCGACCCTCCTCCAACGCCCGTGCACTTCGGGTTCAACCGCTGCAACGTGCATCATCGCGATAGGAAAGATGGAAAGGGGGGGAAAAAAACGCAATTAGAGAGAGGTAGACGTAGAAATCGCTTGTGTAGATAAGTGAAACTCATTTATCCGGGGTTAAGTTGCCGGCGGGGGTTGTCCGCGAGGTAAACGCTGCATCGACTGCCGCATTACGGTCATCGCGTTAAAACGGCTAACAATAGCGTTCGGGAAAGCGAGCTTAGAGAAAGGATAAATAGACAAATAGATAGATGAAAAGATAGGTGTGCGCACGGTAGGTAGATGCTGCGAGATAGAAACTAACGTTACGATGCTTCGAGCCAAGGGAACAAAGAAGTTCCTAACGCCCACCGGATTACAGATTATAGGTCGAGCAATCAAAAGGGGATCTCCTAGGGAGGAAACCGAATAAGCATTATGTATTTTCCGGGTCGATAACGGCCGGTTTGTCGAACCAGCACTTTTCGAGGCGGAAAGGGTTGAGACTTTTGAGTAGAAAGTGTCAGAAGAGGTTTATCAAGAATTTCTATTAATTTCTATTCATGAATTTTAAAAATCTTCATTGTTCATTGGATTTCTGTCATTTTTATTAAATCCACCTTTGCTTTTCTTATTGGAAAACATCAATCTCTGCTTGATCGCGTCCTGCCGCGATTAAAGTATCCTGTTTCCGGGGATTTTGCAGACGTTAATCGGATCGTGCCAGGCGAGTTTCAATTTACCGTTGGCCCGGTGAGGAAGGACCCTTTAAGAGGGATCAGCGTACGTTGAAGGGCTGATTATTGCGCGCTCCTAGGACACGTGCGTACAAGGACGAGAGGAGAGCACGCGAGCGTAAGGGGCCTCCTCGTAATAGCTTAAGCTACCGAGATTCCCGGTTAATTAATTGGTATTAACGTGGTGACGCACGCGGAAGGGAAGGGTGCTTCGGTGGCCAGTTTACAGGGAATTTCAGAGGGAACCGTCGATAGTAGACGCGCAAAAAAAAAATCCACGCGAATTTGCATGTTAACGAGACTGGAGCTTCGCTATCGCGTGTAATCATTGCGCCAAGAGGAGAACGCAGCCAAGCAGGTTAAATACGAAATTATGGATACACCGATGGGTAATAGGATTAATTGAATCGACGATTTCGGCATTCGAAAGAATGGGAAGTCAATTTATTCGATCGATTGCGCCGCGATGAGACCCTCGCGAAAATTAGACGGTTGGTTTTGCAGATTTTCCATTAATTTTTCATCGATTATGTCGCGTTAATCGTCGCTGAGTTATTATGCATCGGGAGGAGCTTCTGCCGTTTACGATTGACTAGCTAAGCTTTGCTATCTATTCGCTCGTAAAATTGCAGGTTTCTGCAAAATTCTCATAGCATCTCTGCTATTTCAAACGCACACTTCTCAGCGAAATGGTTAATTTCCACGATTGCTTGAAAATCGCAATACGATCAGAATCGTTCGTCTTCCAGCGATTCACGCAGCATGTCTCGAAGACGTA